CCTTGGACAGAGAGATCGAAGGAGTATCCGATTGTCAAGCCCGGTCTGACAGGTCAGCAAGCGAGCGAGCTTATAAAATATGGCAGAGCAGTATCGTGGGCCTTGCAAACGCCATATTTCAGAAGCCCCATCGCTTTCCCGTGCTTCCTGGTAGATGCCCAATCCAGCCTGCCAGCGTCCAGGCCAGGTAGAGACTCGCCAACGTGTACCACCCGCAATGAGGAGCCTGTACACTGAACCAGGGTACGAAACACACTGCATCCCTTGTAGGAGCTGCACAAAGTACACCTGCGACTTTGGGAATCAGGACATCCTAGTCTCCGAGGTGCATGGTTAACCAAGAACACGTCGACCTGGGCGTGTTCTCTCCAATCAGGGCGATAACAATTACTCTTCAGCCGAAGCTAGCGGTAGCCTGTAGGTAAGTCTCATGAACCAGGGATGGTTCACGGCCAGCCGAGGGCTTTTCGTAAGAAGGCCTCGGGCAGAAAGGGACGGTGGCTCTAGCCCCATGGAATCATGATGGTGGCCGTCAAATTTGGGTCTGAGCCTCGATAGATTGCGGCAGTCTGTCTGCCCGTCATAGACATGGCTTTCGGGACCGAGATAGGCCTGGTCTCATGCTTGAGATTGCTCGGAGCATTTTGTAACTGCTACCAGGATGTGTAGACGGACCTCCTACCAGCTTCCCTGGTATTTTGCCAAGTGAGCGAGCGGCCGGGCCCGTAGAGGATCTGTTCTCCCACAACCCATGGAAACGATGTATCAGTAAAACGTACACGATCGACAGCAACATCGTGGGGTGCAAGAGCCTCGGGTCGGCCAATGTGAGCAATGTGGCCCGAGTCAGGATCCACAAAGCAAACTTCTCCCAATTTAAAATGTGCCGTATGTTTGCCGCACGCAAGAAGCGGTTGTACAGCCGCTTTCCCAGGAGCCGGTTCGCTGAGCAAGGCTTTAGGTGAGGGTCCATGAAAGGGAATTTGTCCACCTTTGGGGAGCCCACCAAAGCGCGAGACACAGCTATCATGGTGAGCCCTAAGGTTTGGAATCCATTTCGCTAGCGACCGTCTCTGCATAAGCTCGGCCATGTGTTTCGCACCTTGCATCTTCCTTCTTCCTCTCTTTGCTCTTTCTTCCCATATTTCCGATCTCTCCACCCGTGGTTTCTTCCCATATTCGTGGTCTTTTTTTCCGATCGCTGCACAATGGATGAAGGGTATTTCTCCCCTCCCACACTGAGCGCCCACTTATAGTCACTGACCGAGATACAGTGACTTCCAAACAGTTCCTGTCGACGAAACATACCGCGATGTCATATTGCACCACAACAGGGAATACCAACGATATGCCGTGGAACATGGCGTATATTTCTCCCCTGTTGACGATGTGAGAGAGTTGCCGATCCGCCTGTCATTGCTTCAACCTAACGATGAGTGGTTTAGGACGAAATTGAGTACCTTCAGTACATACATGGGCTGTTCGACCTGATGTTTGAGAGAAGACTGATCTTCCCACCTATCCCACAACCCCGGAGGATCCTGGACTGTGGCTCTGGCTCTGCATCGTGGGCCATTGATGTTGCAGAACAATATCCGGAATGCGAGGTTCGTTGAGCCCAGGTCCATAAGTTGTGGTGGCTTTTAAAGCTAGGGTCCTTTTTAAAGGCCTAAATGTTGTCTTGACGCAGCGCTGACTTTTGAAGATATAGGTGATCGGACTCGATATTTATCCGTATCCAATGCCGGAGGACTTGCCCGCCAACCTGGAATTGCAGATCGACGACTTGAACAGTCCGTGAGACAGCCCGAGAGCCTGAGATGTCCGACAGCCATGAAACTGACACGCCAGCAGCTCAACATTCCCCTCGAACCACTTCGACCTGGTACACAGTCGGCTCATGGCAGGCGGTATCCATGCCAATCGATGGATCAATTACCTGACCGATGTATTCAGGATCTTGCGCCCTGGAGGCTGGTGTCAAATGGTCGAGATATACCTCAACGCCCAATCGGATAATGGGACATTGACACCGAGTGAGTCGACTTGTCCAACGACGCGCTTTTTGAGCAGTTCTGACCCAAGGCTCAAGATCATGCTCTGCAGGTGTGGTCCCAGAGTTATATGCAGAGTGTCCAGCCATATAAGGATCCTAGAGCGCCTCTCCGATTGCAACAAATGTTGACTGAGGTTGGGTTTGTCGAGGTGGAAACAAGACTTGTGACACTGCCCCTGTGCGGATGGTCGAATGGTGAGTTCGAAAATTGCTCGGCGTTGGTTGGTATAGTGCCCTGTCTAACGCATTTGTAGACCCGCGAGACCACACCATCGGAGAAGCAAGCCGGACCATCGTCCATCGAATGCTATCTTCTCTTTGTGCCTATCCTTTCACACAGGTTCTAGGGTAAGCATACATCCGAAGTATTATGTAGATGGTCACAGCTCATTCACTTACCAATTTTCCAAAGGATGTCACAAACCGATGTTCAGCTCCTGGTAGCGCAAGCTCGGAGTGAAGCTGATAATCCAGCTTTCAAGGTATGTAAACCGAGTCCCGCTCTCAGCGGGGGTTCAAAGGGTCAATGAAAAGGTGCTGATTGTAGCTATGACTATTGCAAAAGGCCTACTTCCCGGTGTAAGTGGACGCCCTAATTCAACCGATGATTTAAGGTTGACCGAAAGTGGGAGTACTGACTCTTTCTTGCAGATATGTCTGTATAGGTCGCAAGCCAGGTGGTAGCCGGCAACCGAGCTACACCGCTTATGTCCCGCCAAAGGACAGGAAGCATGGCGATGCAAGGAAGCGGGCACGGCATTGAAGCTGCTCTCGAGAAGGGCACCTTGAGTCTCCAGTCTTGATCACTTTGAAGTCTGTCATCAACTCCTGATCAGAGGGTCCGAGACATGCATCCCATCTCTGCTTAGCCGAGCTTCGAAATGCAAGGATCACCTCCGGGGCTATTGAATGTCGATGGACAACAGCAACGATGTCATATCCAAAGCCATCTGGGATTGACGCCAAGTGCAAAAGTACAAACACGACTCGGTGCCGAAAAGATGGGTAGAGATGATGCGGATCAGAGCTTGATGGGCGGCCTTCCTCGACAAACAAAGAGATCATGCCCGAGAACTCAGAGGCAAGGACGATCGAGTCCATGGATTGGGATACACTCGCTGTCATGGACAAGAGTTGGAATTTGAAATGGACCGGAGCAAATTGGAGCGAAGAACCAAGAAGAAAACCTCAAGGCGCGGAACTGAGTCGACCGATGGAATGGCGAAGTGCTTAGGGGCTGTTGCCGTGGCTGCAAGAGAACAATCTAGCGGGCGAAAAGTCTGCCTATCGTTCCTTCCTCCGGTGAATTGTCCAGTTCGGTAGCCAGACTCGGGTATGGAAACGAAGGAGGAGCCCTGTGGCAATTACCGAATTAGAGAGCTGGAAGGTTGGACTGATCATCGATTCCTTCCGTGTCCGACCACGACAGTCTGAAATCTACAAATTACGCGTGTTAACATTTAGGTTTCGTGATCGGGACGTGGCGAGATTGAGCTACCTTGTTTCCATGGTTTCAAATGACGGGAGCCGACGAGGGAAGGCCAATTCAGCCGGTTTACGCTTCAGTTCCCATCGATGTTTTCCACTTTGTCCCAGTGTTCCAACGAGATATTCCGGCCGTCGGTAGCATAAGAGCCTGACCCGGAAACTGAGATCAATTGCCCGAACGAGTCACTACAAGCGAGCGGCTGGGATAACGTCGTTGAGGTTGATGCCGAAAAAATTACCAGCCGTGGACAGCCCCGCTGCAGTGCAGAGAGAATCATGGAAAGAAGCTCAGTGTACCCTCAGCTCTTTCCCCGTTATGAATGTTCTGCCCGCAGCGAATGCTCCATACCTAGACTAGCAATCCCATTCTGAACCCTCATTGGCGTCGTCATCACCAACAGCCTCCCGCTCGTCATCAAAACTGGCAAAGTACTACCGAGCGGCATCCACATTGAGCTGGTTCCGGACAGGACACCATCATGACTGGAAGCCATCGGCACTTGCAATAACCTGGGACACCCATGGATATGGATGACAATCCTCGACTGCGTGGGCAATAATCGATGCCGGGTTGTCAACAATCCAGTGAGCCAGTGTGTTATCGCCAAGCGCTAAAGGTGAAGTGACGGGGCCATTGGAGTCCACTGGCGGGACCGGCATCTCGGAAGAGCTTCGACCCTTGCAATACCCTGAATTGAAGTCGCCGACGTGACTCGACATGTCGAAGGTTGCAATGTGGTAGAACTTTGATTCTCACGAGTGGACAGAATAGGTATCAGGTTTGCAAGTTCCCCATCAGCAAAAGCAGAGGTTCGGTCTGGGATCTGCTTGCGGGATGGAGGTTCCTGTCGTGAGGAAGTGCCCGTGCATCACATCGGAAGCCCGAAGACGGATGCAGGGAAGCAGGGCAGCTGTTAAGAACACAACACCAACGGCAAGGGCAATCCAATCGACAGCCTCATTCTGTGCAGTCTCACAAAAAGGTGCACCACCTCATTTTGATGGTTTCCATTACACCGACAGACAGGCCTTACATCGATCATGTTCCCACCTTGACATTTGCATGTTCAGGTAGTAGACACTCTACGAGAAGCTAACCCTAACCCGCGTGACCCCTACCTTCGCGGTACAGTAGCATCGTCGTTAGCTCCATCACCAACCAGGAACCGAGCCGCAACAGTCTCGGCGCTGTAGCTTCGGGGTCGGTCTAACAGGGTCCAGTTTATTTCTGTGGCAACCAATCAACGACAAAGCTACCTCGAACTTGAGATCTCTTTCTTACTGGACGATTAGGTCTGTTACAGGAAGCTATCCCCCCCCCCCCCCCCCCCCCGCTGTAACCTCGACACTTTCCACCTCAGCGACCGACTGTCCTCCTCGTTGCATCCGCCCGACCCGTCCCTCTTTCACCCATCTCCGAACGAGTGTCCCGTCACTCTTCAGTCGCATACCCATCATGGCCGCCCGTCTCCCCGCCAGCTTCATCGGAAGCCTCCTCGCTCGCTCTACTCCTCGCCAGGCCTGCCGCTTCACCCGCAGCGCCGTCACCACCCCAAGATGGTCCCAGCAGCTCCCCAGCAAGTCCATCAGGGCATACTCCTCCGAGGCCGCCCCGGCGCCCGCTCCTCTCTATGCTAAGCTGAAGGGTGACCTCAAGACCGCCATGCGCGCCAAGGATGCTCCTCGCCTGGCCGTTTTGCGCGCCGTTCTTGCCGCCGTCCTCAACGCCAGCAAGACCTCCCAGCCGATTGAGACCGACGCCCAGCTCGTTGCCCTCCTCCGCAAGACCTCCCGTGCCACCCAGGAGGCTGCCGACCAATTCCGTGCCGCCGGCCGTGGCGACCTTGTCGAAAAGGAGGAGTCGCAGATCCGTGTCCTTGAGGAATACATTGCCGGTAGCGGCGTCCAGTCTGTTGACGAGGCGGAGCTCAAGGATATGGTCTTGGCGGTTCAGTCGGAGCTGGCGGCCGAGGGCGTCGATGCCAAGATGGGCGAGGTTATGAAGAAGCTTCTAGGTCCAGGCGGACGTCTCGATGGCAAGGATGTCGAGAAGACCACTGTTGCCAAGATTGTCAAGGAGGTTATGGGCTCCAAGGCTTGAAGGGACTATAGCGGATGATATGGAAAACCACTCCCGGCTTAATGCGGCTTTAAGGAAACCCGATTCGACTCGCCTCGACTCGCCTCGACTCTCACTTTATGCGTCGAAGTATACAACCACGATACCGACTCGATTCAGTGTATTATTATTACAACTTTGTACAACAACATCTCAAAACGAGCGGCGGGCGGCTCGAGATAGAGCAAGAAAAACATGCGATGGAGGCATGAAGGATGAGACCACGAATAGTGTTGGAACAAAGATAACGCCTGCTGGCAACAGCGAATATGGTACTGGTATTGACGCAAAAGCGTCCATTCTCTGGGAAGCTAGACGGAAAAGGCGCATTCGTACACGGCTGTTTATGTCCATCTAGACCTTATGAAAGAATACATCGTCGCATCAGACGGCGTTAGGAACGGACAATTCTCAGCACTTAAACGAACGCTCGCACACCGCCAAGCCAAGTTATCCATCTCATGCGAAGTCGCAACTTTGCGGTGATGCTGTCCCGGAGGTTTTTTCTCTCATGTTGTGGCGGTTTTCCACAACTTCCAAGCCCCAGCTGCTAACATACTTCCCGACTCTTCCACTTTCAAGACTTAGGTACAGCATTGCATCGCAGATAGGAGCTCCGAGCGTCTTGGGATGATTTTGATAATCTCTTCGTGTCTTCCAGTTTGAACCTCACCGGTTAGGCTATTACGTTCCACAAGTCCCGTTGTCATCCCATTGAATCATCGGAGAGGGTATGGTATTGCTCACAACGCTTTTTCATCCTATCCAACCTGTCCGTCATCAAACAACTTTGTCAGCAATCCCGAATGCCAAGGAACCTTTGACTGCGCATTCCATAACGTAAACATTCAAAGAACTTTTGCCTTGGCCACCTACTAGAAAAAAAAAACCAAGCGGTTCAAAATGCGGTGAGGCCTGGAGTAAGTAAGGTAATCGTAATCTCATTCGAATAAGGCTCCAATCGCGCAATGTTACCTCTCGGGTATGGTTGCCGAACAGCAAACTTCGCAAAAAGTTTGGGGAAACACAAGGCAAGCGGAAATAATACGCGGCGTTCTCTGTGACACAGTGACGGCTTGGTTCATCTCAAGCCAAAAACAAAACAAAAAAGTTCTTGTCCGGATTCAGAACTGGACGGGAGTGTATCGGTGCGAGTAGGTAGTTAATGTCCGATGTTGTTGGGATAGCACTTGATTTGTATGTTTCAGGGAGACACGCCATAATCCCGTCATTCAGATTACCAAAATGGGATCGCAAAGACATTTCTCGCGAACATGACCACCGTCTATAACAAATACCCGCGCCAAGCGAGGATTTATGGCAAGTCCAAGAGTTAAAAAGAACCGCAATGTTTGTCTTGGATCGGAGTTACGTTGATGATGTTATCCGGTTATCTCATGGATGGTGGGGTTGGAGTCTTTCTTGGAGCTGAAAGTTGCGAGGGGTTGTGTAAGTTATATACCTACGGTATTGAAAGAACCAGCTACGCCGGTCTGCGCCTGAGTTCAGTTCTAGTGTATGTGAATCTTGATGTTCGCCGCCCTCGTCACCACTGACAGGTCTTAAAAACGATAGTCAGATGTACCTCTCTATTCTGCCTCGGAATGTTCTCTTTGTGTTTCCATTGCCTCGAAGTCGTCATCTCAAGCTAAAAGTTCAGATGAAAAAGTCACCTGCCTCGAGCCTCAAACCAGAGGCGCTCTGGCACTCTTCTAGATGAGACGAAAGTGTAAGATACCGGTAAATGCTGCTCCCCACGAGTTGCCCGCCACCAGGAACTGGTCGCGCTAAAACACCCCGTGACTTGCAGTGCATACGGTTCTTACAGGGCACAAAGTGTCTAGTGGCACGTGCTGCCGTATCAGCTCCAGTCTGTGAGGGTCACGCGCCTATCGCATCCAACGGGGGCCGCGATAACAGTCCAGAATAAAGGAAGCTTCCGTCAGATACAGCATCAACACATTGTCCAAACGTTCGTCTGCTAAATCTTTCGTTTGCCTTCGATACGGATTTCTATCCAAAATCATAATTGTTGATAGCTCAAGAAACCCCGGCTTTCTTGTTTGGAACGGTTTTTGCTCATGTTTGCGAGTGGCAAGGTTTCTCATTCTCGCCTTTCGACTCACACCTTGCACTCCCTTCCTTCATCTTTCACTTTCCTTCCACTTGCCAAAATCTCGCTGGTCACAAATTCACAAGCGCGGCGAAGTTGCCCTCCATCCATCCATAGATCCGAACGGCAGAGACAAACCCGCCCTTTCCACCACTCAAAATAGCAGCCTGACCTTGACTGGACCTGGACCACTCACTGGCACAGACCCGACTTCACGAAGACCCTGCCTGCATCTCGCATCCGATCGCTATATCAATACGACTCCATACACACTGCGCGCGGACTGTTGACGATACTTTTATTTCGGAGCATTCAGAAAAGCTTCACTTTGCGCGTGCCACTCCCTTACACAAGGGATTACTCCTGCCTTGCTTTCATCCACCGAAAACGAAAAGAAAAAAAAGGAAAAAAAAGCCACCAGGCAGGTACTTGGGTATTTGCACGACATCGGTTCGGTACATGCACAGCAACCGCAGAGGTGCAGAGATAAAGGTACCGGGTACTACAGCACGGGCAAGCTCATCCAGGTTAACTTGATCCGCCTGTTGTGCATCCTCTCCAAGCCCCACTGCTACCAACCACCACCACCACAAGACACGACCACATTCCGGATCGTCCCTTAGCCTCCCGCCGCCGCTCAAGGCACGCCGCAAAGATAAAGGTTTCCCTGTGCTTGTGATGACGGCGGTCGTTGCATCATCCATCTTACAACGGGAACGGTTAACCACAGGCTGCACGTCGCCGGCATCTTTTCGCCCCGTTCAGTGGACATCTCTGGACCCTGAACACCGGATAGTGTGGCCAGTGGACAACAACCTACTTACATGAACAACTCAACGCAATATCAAATTCCACTTTCAGATAGACGTTTTGGTCTTGGCATCTGAAACCAACTCCTACGGAATATCTGCTTGGACACCCGGACTGAACCGACGGTGAACCACCTCTAAATCGCCAGTAAGTTTGACCCATTCACCCACACCTAGATCCCCCGGTGTTAACGCCGAGTGCGCTACCCTGCGGTGCGGTGCGGTGCGGATACATTGATAACCGCGAGCCTGTTGATTCACTCTCTTCCCTTCACTTTTCATCCCCCAATTCAGGTCCCCTCACTTCTCCTTGCAAACAAAATATTCTTCAGCGTTTGCCTGGCTAAAAATTCATTTTCTGGTGGTCTTACATTTGGATTTGCCTCACGCAACTCTCACCGTTACCCAAGTGCTGACAGCAACAACCAGGCAAAATACCCATCACTCGCTACAGTATTGCGGCAGCTCGACAATATGTCGTGGAACCCGGAAGCGCTCCTGAACCCCAAAGCTTTTTCTGCTGCTTCGTCAACCTCAGACTTGACCTCGCAGTCTGGGGCGTCTCCCTCATTCCAGCAACCCACATTCGCACATCAAATTCAGAGTGTGCCTTCAAGCCCGACCTTTCAGTTCACTGGTCCACATGACCAGCCACTGAATATCGACTTCGCCGGCCTGCCTTATGGCGCCACCATGCATGGCCATGTGCGAAACGCCCCGACTTTTCCCATTTTCCAAAACGGTTTTGTTCCTCAGGTCGAACGACTCCACAACGTCCAAGACCGCATCTCTGTACCGCAGCCGAAGCGCAGGAAGACGTACAACGAAAATGACCACTTGCGCACGAATACGTTTGGAGGAACCAGCAGTGGGTTGCTTGCGGAACAGTTCGGGCAAAATGGCACTTCAGGGATTTCGACACCAGTGGCGATGATGACACGGCAAACCGAGACAGTCGACTTGACAGAAGGCGACTCAGAAGCCGCTCAGCCTCGACAGCAGCTCGACCTGACCAAAGATGAAGAAGTTTGCTACGGTATGATCGAGGGAACTACTATCAACTGCCATCGGGTTCCTGCCCCGAAGCCTGGTATGGTGTCTCTCCTTGGCGACATATACTGGCCGCAGATCAAGGTCATACTCAGGAAGCGAGTGGACGACACCGACACGAATAGAATTCCTGCCTACGATTGCACTCGGGTCGCCTTTGGGTATCTTGACGCCAAGACGTCGTATTGTCTGGGGAATCTCCTCACATCTGCTCTGGGAATACGTACTGATTGTAGGATCCCCCCGAGACGTAAAGGCAACCCCAACGAGAAGACTGGCGAGGCGATCTCGACGGCGATCCCTTTCGAGCTCATGCTCTACGGCCCTCGCAAGCTTGCGATTCAGATCGGAAACCACTTGGCTAAACATCATCTCGCCCTTCTCAGCCCGCCGCGCGTCGAGCCTGGCATCAAGGTCTTCAACCCCCATGCGAAGGAGAATAGGCCAGCTCCTCCTGTCCGAGCTAACAGCTTGGGTGGAACAAATTCCTATTCTCTGCACCATTCGGCAACCACCCGCACCCCTGAGGAGATCCGCAACGAAGTGATGAGTGTCTTTGACTCGCTCCCGAAATCTGAGAGTTTGGAGCAGATGGAGCCCGACCCGCGTATTACCACTGAGCTCCTTAAGCACCAAAAGCAAGCCCTTTACTTTATGATCGAACGTGAAAAAGACATCATTCAGGATTACGGTGATAAACTCACACGGTCTACTTGGCAGCGCAGAAAAGATCGTGGCGGTGTGGATTTCTACTACAATGTCGTCACTATGCAAAACCAAAGAGAGCGTCCGCCACCAGCACTGGGAGGTATTCTGGCAGATATGATGGGTAAGTCACCGAAGATGGGAATTTCGCGTGTACTGAAGCTAATGTTTTCAATAGGTCTCGGCAAGACGTTGAGTATCTTGTCACTTATCACCAAGACGATGGATCAGGCTACGGCTTGGAGCCTCGAAGCCCCCGTGCAACCGCCGAAGCCGCCCGAGAAAAAGCAGCCCAATGCAGCTCGGTACTTTGAGGTGCCCAAACCTCAAGCCGTGGGCCTGACACCGGTGCGACTGAACGGAAAGGCAACACTCTTGGTTTGTCCGCTGAGCACGGTTAGCAACTGGGAAGAGCAGATCAAGCAGCATATCAAGCCTGGAGGCCTGTCTTATCACATCTATCATGGTCCCAACCGTATCAAGGACGTGCGACAACTAGCCCAGTTCGACCTTGTCATCACAACCTACGGATCAATCTCGAGCGAACTCAACCTCCGCGCCAAAAACAAGGCAGGCGTGTACCCATTGGAGGAGATAGCCTGGTTCCGCATCGTGCTAGATGAGGCACATATGATCCGCGAGCAAAACACACTGGCATTCAAGTCAATTTGCCGACTTCAAGCGAGCCGCCGCTGGGCTGTCACCGGTACACCGATCCAGAACAAGCTAGAGGATCTGGCCTCGCTTCTAGCATTCTTGCGCGTCAAGCCCTTTGATGAGAAGATCAAGTTCTTGCAGTACATCATTGGTCCGTTCAAGAACGCCGATCCCGAAATCGTGCCGAAGCTTCGGGTCCTCATCGACACAATAACGTTGCGTCGCTTGAAGGACAAGATCAACCTTCCGCCACGAAAGGACGAGATCATCAGGCTTGACTTTACACCCGAGGAGAAACGTGTGTATGATTGGTTTGCGCAAACGGCAAAGGAGCGAGTGTCGGTTTTGACCGGGCAAGCCGTTGGTCAGGATCGCATCATTGGAGGCAAGACAATGATACACATTTTGCGTTCCATCTTGCAACTTCGCCTTATCTGCGCTCACGGCAAGGATCTTCTCAACGCAGATGACCTTAAAGAGCTGCAGGGAATGACGGCAGACACGGCCATTGATCTCGATAGCGACGATGAACAAGGCCAGTCCGTGCTGTCTGAGAGCAAGGCCTACGAGATGCTCTACCTGATGCAGGAAGGAAACAGCGACAACTGTGCTAGGTGCAACACTAAGCTGGGTTCCAATGAGGTCGTCGACCTTGACTCCGAGCGTCAGGAGGATATCGTCGGATACATGGTGAAGGCTAACTGCTACCACGTCTACTGCAACAAATGCGTCGATCATATCAAAAACGAAGCATGCTCTACGTGTGCCGGCATGACCAGGCCCGGTTGCATAGAACTCCACCGCGCCCGTGCTATGGCCGAACACGAATCGAGAACCGCCAAGGTCGAGAACGGAGACGTCAACAAGGATCTCACCGCTTACTCAGGGCCACACACCAAGACTCGCGCACTCGTTGCCGAGCTGCTGGCGGACAAGCAGAAGAGCGAGGCAGCGCCCCACGAGCCGCCGTACAAATCCGTTGTCTTCTCCGGCTGGACCTCGCATCTCGACCTCATCGAACTCGCCTTCAACGACGTCGGCATTATCTTCACCCGTCTTGACGGCAAGATGACGCGCACAGCCCGCACCGCAGCCATGGACAAGTTCCGTGAGGACCCCTCGGTGCAGGTCATCCTCGTCAGCATCATGGCCGGCGGTCTCGGCCTGAACCTGACCACCGCCAGCAGCGTGTACGTCATGGAGCCTCAGTTCAACCCGGCGGCCGAGGCACAGGCTGTCGACCGCGTGCATCGTCTTGGTCAGAAGCGGCCCGTGCGCACGGTTAGATATATCATGGCCAACAGCTTTGAGGAGAAAATGCTCAAGCTGCAGGATAAGAAGAAGAAGCTGGCGAGCTTGAGCATGGATGGTAGGGAGAAGGGAGAGGTGATGGATCGTACGGATGCGGCGAAGCAGCGGTTGATGGATTTGCGGAGTCTTTTCAAGTGATCTCTCTTGTCTGACTTGGTCCTCTATGCAGCTCATGGGAGGATAGGTGGTTATTTCGTTATCATTTTCTTATTCACAAAGATGGGATAGACGGATCGTGGGTTTAACAAGAGGAGTTCTGAGTTATGCGTCCGGGCTGGCTGGGCAATTACTATGGCAGGCATGGCGTTACCTATGGCAATGGCACGACGGGAATATTTTACTACAACCTCGATCCGCTAGATTACTGCATGTAGACGGGTTTATGGACGTCGGCTTCTCTTCTCTGCTTTGCTTTGGTAGTTTTTTTTTCCCATCTTTTTCGCTCAACAAAGGGCGATCATACCATGGTGGTTGTCATGCAAGGATCTTATTTAGAGCATGGAGCGGCAACGAACTGGAGGATCTGTGCTGCTTTTGCGCATTTTCATGGTGTGCTTTTTTACTTATTTATATCAAGCTTCTCTACTCTTTCTCATATAGCATGCATGGACATACCGGTATTTGTTGTTCAGACACTTGGGACATTCATATAGGCCCCCATAGTATACCGGCACGGTACCGGCTGAAGCTGTCCCACATACACACGGCCAAGTAAGAAGTTTCATTTTGCGGAGGAGGTAATGGTCAGTGGTCGGTGGTCGGTCTTCCTTTATCTTGCCAGTTACTAGAGTAGACCAGGCGTTTAGTCCCAGCACAGCGCAAGTCCCACACAGACAGGATGTCTCGCGGAAGGTTAAGTTAGCTAAACCTGAACGAAAACATCGTGGGCATACGGACAGACGCATAGCAGACAGGTGATAGAAATCCAAAGCACAACAGAATTACGGTACACACTAGTGTGACGTGACATTATAATGTAAAATTCTCCACTATAACCTCAACAACAAAAGCGGGTTTAGCTCAGTTGGGAGAGCGTCAGACTGAAGTCCACTTCACTCATAAATCTGAAGGTCGTGTGTTCGATCCACACAAACCGCATCTTTTGCTTTTTGCGAATTTCGAGTAGCCGATGCACGGAAGAGATGTCGACGTTGGGTTTGTTTAACCTTTTTTTTTTTTCCTTTTTCCTCTCTATCAAGTAGGTTTGTTGTATATGGTGTTTGTTAGATTCACACATCAGAATCTCATCAGATATACCCACTACCTACCTCCCTTCCTAATGGCAAAACAGGGAGGTTATCGACATCCAACTTGAGGAACAACCCGAACGAATGTCCGAAAGCATTGTTGGTGATGTTGATATCCAACTCTTCATACTCAGTCCACCTCACTCCCGTAACCTGTTTGTAATTCAACCTGAAAGATTATATGCCATTATATATGTCTAACGTTCGTTCGCTTTTTACAAAACTCATGCCAATCCGATGCTACCCATTATCCTCGATATCTTTCTTTCCCCAGAGCCACGGGAGCCAACATTTTTGCTGGCCTAAACCATGATCCGACGCAACCCTTCTGTCCCGCCCAACACTTTCCTACCCGTAACCGCACACCTCCCCTCTCCGCTCTCCCACTTACCCTCCCGCTCCTTGGTCATGAACTTCTCCTGCCTGGCATGCGTCCCGCTCATCCACTTGTGTATGCACGAAAAGCAATAAACCACACCCGTCTGACACGCCGCCGGCGTTTGGATCTCGTCCTCGCAAATGGGGCAGAGGTCCGAGCTCTTGGGCGGTGGCACCGTGAAGATGGGCAGCAGCGTCGAAGCCGCTATGGGCGCCGTTTCGGGCGTCGGCTCCTTGCTTTCCTCCTCAGCCTCATCATCCGCCTTTTCTTCCACTCCATCCTCCGACGTCCGCGTGATCTTCGGCTTGGGCTTATTCCTCGCCTGCGCCTCCACCAGCCCCGTCACCGTCGGGGGCGGCAGATCCAGACTCTCGGCCGCCTTGCGACTCAGCTGCTTGGCGAAGTCGGAAGCATACCACCACTCGAGGAACTTGAGGGCGAAGATACTCGTCGGTAGAACCAGCGATAGACCGCCCATTAGCCGCCTGCCCATGTTTCGTGGGCTTAGCATTGACCCAGATCGCGGTGCACCCCCCTTGGCAACAGCCTTCTCCAAGGCCTCAATGGCCTGATAATCCGCCCCGTTCATCCTCCTGATCCTCGTCCCAATCATCCACAAGAACGGGTTATGATACTTGGTGTTATCGAACAGATAGCCCAAATTAAACGCCAACATGGCAAAGTAATACGCGGCATTCAAGCTTGGGTAAACATTCCTCAGAAACCAGCGATAATAATAAATGAACCTCTCCTTGAGCTTAGCCCCCTTTGCGGGAGGACGGGTATACGCGCCACCCAGCATAGCGCGGGGGGCATCGACTTCGTACGCCTCATCCAGCTTTCGTTTCAGGTAGGGAATGCCGATCATGACCGCCAGATTCTTCCAGATGTCGGCGTCGGAAAGCTTGAGCGCATCGCGGACGACGTTTGGAGCGGAGGCCGCGGCGCGCGGGATCTCGGCTGCTAAAGCCTTCTCACGCTTTAAGCCGTAGAAGTGCTCGGTGAATGACCCGCCGCGCGTCTTGAGGTAGTGCCGCTCTACCAAAAGGCCGGCGAAGGCGTACAGCTCGTCGAAGGAGTTGAGGATGCGCAGCAGGTAGCGCGGGTAGCGGTGCGTGAGGACCGTGAGGAGGTAGCGCAGGGTTGGAGGCAGCAGGGAGGCGAGCTGTTGTTCGGAGAGGAGCTCGAAGAGGGAGGGCTTGCCGTCGTCGAAGGTGCCGCGGAGGGCGGTGACGAATTCCATTTTGACGGTTGTGGTGGTGTGTGGTTGTTGATTTTTGGTTTGGATGGGATGGGCTCCCGCCGGTTTGAATTGGGGGGTTATTGGGTTCGAGGATTCGGAATCGAGATGGGGATCAGTGTCGCGCGATTACGAAGTTGACTGTCTCAATGCTTATGCCGTCGGCGCGCGGATTGTCGTCGTCGGATGATCGAACCGTCAATGAAAATTGTCGGTTGTCGTTGTCAAAGTTCACGGGATGCAATCGGGATGGAATTGAAGACGGGGCCGCGGTTCGGGAAATGGGGCTGGACCTCCTGGAACTGGAATGTCGTGAACAAGGGGCCGCCGAACGGGGGAGGAGGAGGAGGCAAGGAGTGGATTGTCGCAACGCATCAAAAGTGGCACTTCCTAGCACCACTGTGAGTGGACATTTCAATACCATTCAGCTGAAGTCAGCGGCATGCTTGCCGCCATCTTTTATCGTGGACACCTTGATAGCCGAGGCTTGTCATGCTGGTCCGGTTCTCATGTACCCCAAGAATTGTTAATGGATCCCTAGATACCCCATACCATCATCCATCAGGTCCGTTCCCCTGTGACAGTCACGGCAGGCATATCCCCTCTTTTTGTTTCCAGGTTGTTTCGACTTTCAGTTGTCAGTGTTGGTTTTCCCGCTTTCACAATCCCACTGTACCGGTACATACTTCCTGTTTGGTACATGCGGTCGTACTAACACCGACAACGGAAATCTACAACCGCCGCCCGCATTGCCTTACCACTGCACTGCAAGCCACAATTTTAATATACATTTATCTCTTCCCGTCCCGCATTTGTTTGTATCTGCCTCCTTCCCAATATGACAATCCGCACCTATCATCGCCCAGTAAAGACATCTGAAGTCGTTGTTGTTTCGCTATCTCAAGACGGAAAAATGGCGGGAAAGGGGTCGGCGGCATCACCGCCAACGCCAAAGAGCGGTGGTGCTCAATATCAACAACCACCACAACAGAGTCAACAGCAGCAAAGTCAACGACAGCAGCCTTCAAGAAGTGCAGGCGCAGCAGGACCAAGCAGCACCGTCGACCCAAGTTTGCTGAAATATACCGGCGAGCAACGAATACTCGAACTGAACCGACGAGAACTCGAAAAGGCTTCTAGCGGCGATAGCGGCGATCATGTGCGTCACTACTTTTACTTTACTTCACCACCTTCACCTGTCATTGTTGTATAATCCTGTGAGATCCGGAATACAGGACGGTCCGGCAATGTAGGGTTAAAGGTCAAGAAGGTCTGCCAGTTGCATCAACAACAGCCGGGCATGTTCACATGCAAGACTTCAACTTTGACCCTGCGTTGCCGGGATGACCTGGGTTTCTTGGATATCGCGAGTTTATACGGTTCCATCCCATCATGACCACTTCAATCCCATCACCACCTCTTCTATACCACAACCACCTCCCACATCACCACCTCCCACAACCTCCCACAACCAATCCCCAACCCTCAAAAAAACCAGGCAACAACTCTAACACATAAGCAGGACTGGACCTCCTCCCTCATCCCCCATCTGAAGTTAATCTCCTCGGACCCCTCCCTCCCTCACCCCAAGACTTTCTTCCGATACACCGTCCAGCCGCAACACTGCAACCGGCTCGGCAACTTACACGGGGGCTGCATCGCGACCCTCTTCGATTACTGCACGACCATGCCTCTTGCTTTGGTTTCCAAGCCAGGATTCTGGTACTACCTGGGCGTGAGCAGGAACATCAACACGACCTACCTGCGGCCGATCCCCGTGGGCACAGAAATCTTCATCGAGTGTGAGGTGGTGGCTATTGGGAAGAGGTTGGCGAGCTTGAGCGGCAAGATGAGGCGGGCGGTGGATGGCACGCTGTTGGCTACTTGTGAGCATGGGAAGGTGAATACGGATCCGGAGGCTGGGGGTAAGTTGTGAGGGCTTGAGGGGATTGTTTCTTGTGGTTGTTGGATAGATGGATGGATGAGATCCGGGATCTTTTCCTTCTGGGAAAGAGATAAGATGGACGTGTTTGTTGTTTGTAGTAAGTAGTAGTATTTGCAGGCAGATATGGTGGTAGTTACGGACACGAATACAATACAAGAAATACGTAAGGGAATGTCAAGGACTGAAATAAACTCAAGGCCAAGGCAGGTAGGTATGTATCTGTGTGTGTCAATATGTCCCCGTTCCCACGAAGCTTACTTGTTGCCATACTGTATGTTGACTCCTGTCGTTAGCCATCACCAAGCACTTTCACTTTTGCAAACAACACTCAAAAGACTTACCTAGAGGTAACAAGTCCTGCTATGGTCCCTGCTGTCCCTGCTGTCCCTGCTGTCCCTGCTGTCCCTGCTGTCCCTGCTGTCCCTGCTGTCCCTGCTGTCCCTGCTGTCCCTGCTGTCCCTGTTGACCGCCGCGTGGGCGCACAGCCTCCAGATCCGAGATCTTCCAAAACGCCGTAGGTCCGCATGGCCCATGAGGGTTGTGATCCCTGCAAACCACATGGTCAGTATCCAGAGAAGTCGAGAAAAAGGGGGAGTGACCAGAGTGATATGATAACATACTTGTCAAACCAGTTACCAATTACCCCACGAGCGGACTTGATACCTCCGATCTGGATCCCTTCACTGCGCCATCTCTCCTCGCCGTCGTACAGAGAAGACGTCATCCATCGGACCTCGCCCTCGGATGTCATTCGCACAACCCCTGCGACTGCCGCTGTCAGCATACAATATCTAGGTAGGTGGCCCAAATTACCTGGGTCATAAACTCACCTCTCAGTCCCCAAGTGAGGCGCGCCTCTCCGGGAGACCCGTCGAATGACCGAGCGTAACCTTTCCAGTGTACGATGGGCCAAACCTTCCCCTTGACTTCAGGATGTCCTGTTCCTGGCTCGGGATAAGTAATTCTGACGACGTTGATTTTCATCATGAGCAACTTTGTTGCCTCTCCCACGTCCAAGGGCGGTCTTGGAACGTTATCGTCGGGCATACTATCGTCAGGGAAGTTGAACGAGAAGAAGTCGGTGTAGTCTGTGCAGTAAACGTTAGCAAATTCCATAACCATACCTTCTTTCGATCAAGAAAAGCCAAGTCATAACTTACCTAAGAAACAAACCACCCTCAGCCAAACCCCCGAGACCCCATACGGATCTTTCGCTTCCAGTTTCGGATTCCTGTCATCCTCCTCCTCTTCCAAATCCCCATCCACACTATCCCCATCCTCCTCCTCCTCCTCCTGCTGCTGCTGCTGCTCCTCCTCCATGCTGTCTATAGCCCCATCATTCGCAATATCCGAACCCCAATCTTCATGCGTATTCCCCCACAGAAACCACCCACCATACCCACTCCCTACCCCCATCGGCCCTCCTCCTTGTGGCCCTGAATTTCCCGTCCTAGGCAGCTCGCACAAGCTTCCCTCCCAACACCCCGCAAAGGGGGTATTCCAGACATTCCCCACCATCGGGATCCGGTCCAGCTCCTTCAGCTTGATATTCGTCCTCAGCACGAACAAGATGGCCTCCATCTTCTCCCAATCCACCTTCCCGCTGCCGTCCGCGCGGAACGGTCCCCAGTGCGTCTTGTTGGTGTACTCGCGGAGGTCGTACACCTTGGACACCGCGTACGGGTACAGCTTAGGGACAAGCGAGGTCCTCGCGAAAAAGGCCGATCTCAGCCGGCCATCGCGCGTAGGTAGCGGCGGGCTAGGCAGGGTGACGTACGCGTTGTTGGTACCCGGTCCCGCCCTAGGACGAGGAGGGCGTTGGTTCCGGTTGAGCGACGAGGACAGCGCGGGATTGTTGGGCAGCGTTAAAGTAGCAGGAGCCTGGACGCCGACGCCGAAGAGACAGTGCAGCTTGGCTGATTGTTGTTGGTACTCATAGTTGACGGGGGTGCGGCCGTAGCGCGAGCGCTCGTAGTCAATGGGGTTGCTCATAGGGATGCGGTAGTCGGAGCAGTGGGCGCGCTCGTACAACTGGGAGCCGTAGAGGAAAGCGTTGCGGACGGATTCTTTGGAGAAGAGGTTCAAGAGTATGGCGGCATTTCGCGAGAGGGGGTAGGAGGAGGAGACTGGCTGTTGGATGCTGTACTCGCTGCAGCTGCCGCGGGCTGACTGGGAAGATGATGGAGGAATGGCTTTGAGAATATTGGTGACGGCGTGGTGGACAAAGGTCATTTTAGCCTCGTGTATGTCGGGGCATGAGAGTTCGAAGTTCTTGGGATGAGCGAAGTCCTGATTTGGATGAGTAATCTGTTAGCAAGCTGGCAACGTAAATGATCATGGAAATGAAGTATGTCATTCAAGGCATACTATCGTCGTTGTGAAAGCTCACCTCATATTCCCGTCCACACAGTCTTCGCAACTTCACCAGATCATTGAGGCTCTGCTCCCAGTCTACATCTTCTGGTGGTTCGTCCTGTGTAGTGTCAGTCAGTATTAGGTCTGAAGAGAGTATGAAGAACCTGGCAAGTTCGTAGTACATACCAAGTACCGGTAATAGATGTCACGATGTAAAACTGCATTTCCTTTGACATGGTCTGCTAAACGTCGACAAATACTTCGGATACTGGGTAAATCGTCGGGCGACACATAGCTGAAGATGTTGTTGATGATCTCCGCAGGGAGCTGAGTAAGGAGCACCATGTTGACTTGAGATTATTTGGTTCGCTTCAAGTGGCTGATCTTAGGCGACGTCGGAATGGAGTAGTGTCTCTTCAAGTACTAGTCGTGGGAGGCCAGGAATGGAGTGAGTAGAGGAGCCAAGTAGGTAGGCCTGTGAGAAATGAAATTTAAATTATAATTAGTGTAAAGATATCTTGAGAAGAAGGTAGTAAGTAGGTAGGTCCGTTGGTGATGCTGGAACCAACAGCGAGATTATTAGGCGAGGAGGAGACCTGGGAGCTCGTCTGGCAACCCCTCGACCGAGATTCAGGGCAGGGTGATCAAATGATTGAAGGAAGGAAGGAAATGATGTCCTGATAATAAAATCTTGATGAGAATCCGTGCTCACTCTGAGGTGATAATTACCAAGATAGTACCTTAGGTACCTTAGTTCGGCACTTCCTCAGGTGAGCTTCACTTGCTTGGATTGTAAGAATTCTCGGGTTGCCCTGGAGAAAGTAGAGATAGGAACGAACAATCGGTCGTAAATGCACGCCAATGTATACATGTGGGTAGGTGCGTTCTGCAGAACGCAATGTAATCGCGGTCCGAGCAACTTCAAGTTGGTGTTGAGACGGGAGTTTAAGTGACCGATAGTGGCTAAAGACGATAGAATGCGCAAACGCTGAAACACATTCGTACAAAAGAGAAAGATATGTCGTCGCGGTCGCGGAAAGTTGAAGATAGACTGAGGAGGGGTTTCCCCAACTGACTTCCCGGGATAGGTTATCAATTGTGCCCCTCGGGAATCGAATGGAGGGGATGCGATGGATGATCAATGATCAGATCATTGTACCACGCAAACGCTTTCGTCATGTAGAACAGTGCGCGCGAATCGGAGATGATACCTGGGAGGGGCAGTAGGTAAACGCCGAGGGGCAATTGCAGTGAGGAGGTACTTTGTTATATAATCAGTTCAGAAACACAGCGCTAGCCACCCATTTGCGAGAATAGGAAAGGGGAAAAAAGAATCGCGGGATGAAAATCACAAAACATATAGCTGGGGTATAGATGAAGTGAAGTATGTGTGGTGAAAGAATAACAACTCGAAAGGAGGCCCATCCACCACAAACGCAACGAACGTCCCCTCGTATACAGCTCAGTCCCCTTTCATGTACCGCCACATCATCATCTCAGCTCGTACCTTCGTCAACATGAACATCAACATCGTTCCCCAACACATCATCACCGCTTTCCACCATCGAAACCGCGCCCCCTTTCCCGCGTTTGGAAAATACCCGCCAGTGTCCCTCGCAGTTTCATGAAACCTTTTTTTCTTTTTGGCACTTATTCCGCCAATGCAATATTGGCAAAACAAAACTCGAGAGCGAGAGAGTTTCCAGAGACGACTATTAAGCCACATTCGCCCCAGCATTCAATTGAATGCAATTATTCAACAGTGTCGCGCCCTCGTGAAGTAGCTCCCACCTGGTCACTCGGAACGTGTCCTTCAACACCACCAACAGCGCCGTATTCTGGTTGAGGCCCCTCATGGACTTGAGGTCCTCCGGCGATTGAATGCTGCCGTATTTGACTAGATACTCGCGCATCTGTCGGACGGCATCCTGGTGGGTAGCAGGCACAGGCAGCGCGGGACAGGGACCCTCCAGAGCATAGCCGTAGCACCACACCACGAGAGCGGCAAAGTACAAGACCCAGGGCCGGTTGAGGAGGACGTCGTCGCGGGCCGAATATTCTTCGTCCATATGGCTGGTATAACCATTGGATTGGGGAGAGCCGGAGCCGGTGGGTAGTAAGACGGATTGCAGGAATTGCAAGGCATAAAAGGTCGCGTCGCGGGCTTTCGCCGAAGGAGCCCACTGGTCTTTCATGCGACGGGTAGCGCTGCTGAGATCTTGCGCGCCGATTGCTCTGCCCAAAAGTCGCTTGGCCCGGGCAAAAATCTGGCAGTCTACAATGTCGATGTGCATGGCCATATGAGCCAAGTGGTGCAGGACGACACGACTTTCAAATACCACATCCGTCTCATTACCCCTGACTCCGAAGAAATAGGGGTCAGCCATTTCGCCTCGCCTTTCCTCCAGAGCCCTGTCGAATTCCTTCTTCCAAGAATCGAATGCCCGGGTGAGCGTGGTCCGCCACTTGTCGCGACCTCCAAGAGCCGTGGTAGCCCCAAGGGAATTAACCTGGAGGTCTCTCTGGTTCATGTGCCAGCTGACGCTAAGTAGACCCGCCATGAGGATGGTGCGGCCGAATGAGTTGGTTTGAACTGTCTGGCCGTTCAACGTCCGCTTGAGCCCGTCGAGGAACCCGATCGGCTTGGCTTGTGACATGAGCTCCGCCTCAATCTTTCCTACTTCTGCGCTACTCTTCGCCTTCCAGAGCTTGTCGTCACAGGGTAGTGGTAGACGCATCTCATGGGCTACCATGACGGTCGAGTGGCCAAACATGGTGGCGTGGATCGAGTCAATAACAAAAGCTGCAAAGGCGGCACGTCGGGTTGCTTCATTGGTGATCCAATGATTCCACCACTCGTCTGGTGTGTGAGCCACGGATGTTGACGAATGTCTCGAACCGTTGGTCTTGTCATCTCTCAGGTTCGGGGGAGAATCCAAAGCTGATTTGCCGATCAAGGCCCTACCACGGCGCATCAAAGTGATGGTCGTTGCGTGGTGGATATGGGCTCTCTCGTGCAGTTCTCTCGTTGAGTACATTTTCTCATACAACTCGAGAAGCAGGAGCGTCTGGAACACCCAAAGCTTGGCTGGCGGCCGACAGTTGGGGTCCTGGAACATCTCCCATCTCAGATGCCAGGCTAAGAAGTTGGACAGCTCGGCACCTGCCTTGGTGACTTTCTGACCGTATGCCTTATCGAGACACGCAGCGCCAATGGCCATCATGGCAATCAGGAGCAGATTTGGTGTTTTGTCGGGAGAAAAGGTAGGTTTGTGAAGGATGGGAATCTGGTCGCTGAAGTGAAGCCAGTAAGATACGATATATGCCTGCATCATCTTCCGGCTCAACATGTGGTTGTCATCGTTGCGGTCGCCCTCGAGGATGTTGTCGCGCTGCCTTTCAATCGGGGCATTGCCGTTTTCGTGGAACCTTTCCTTAATAAGCTCGAAGATTTCGCCGCTTTTCAGATCCGAAATTATTGATTCGGGGAGATTTTGGTCCAAAAGGTTCTCAACGGACATGATCTGTTGAGGGGCCATTTGTGGGAAGTATCCCAACTGACTGGGGTCATTGTAAAACGGATACTGGTTGGTAGAAAACTCCCCATAACTTGCTTCAGGTTAGCAAAGGACACGAATACTGCTTTGGGGTTATACTTACTTTAGCCCCTGAACAGGAACTACAGTGGGCGATCCTTCACCATGCGTGTTGAACAGATAGGCCATAAAGTCTTCGGGCATTCCAACATATGGCGACTTGTTGAGGATGCTATCAGTGCCGAAAACTGGCATTGTCTGCTGCATGCTCATCTGGTCCAGCCGCACCATCTCCCCAGTATCTTGCGAGTGGTGGTCGAAAGACTCTGCAGTTGTTAAGGGCACATAAGCCTGCTGTTGGGCTTCCCTATTCACGACAGCTCCGGGAGACGATGTCGCAAAATCTGATGGAGGAAGGCTAAAAGGCGGGAAGTTCTGCGGCGTGACATATGGAACCGCAGACTGAGGTGTGTTCACGGGATGACTATGATACCCCGGCTGGGTAGAAACAGGAGATAACACCCCATAAGGGCCAACATTCGTCTGCAACGATGGTCTGTGAGGCCCAGGCGGCGATTGGTGAAGAGGTCTTTGTCCTGACATGTGCTGATAGTGAGCACCGTGCTGCATGTAGTCAACGCCATTCGAGTAACCATTCGTAGGTGCGCTGGCAGTCATGGGCGTATATGGGCTTCCCATTGTATCCTTGGGTGAGTTGAACTGCATGGTAAGGGGCCTGCCTTTGGGGTATCCATTCCCGGGACGGTTCATTTCTGGGGATGCGGAACCCGGGGCCATAAAAGGAGAACGACCATCTGTCGTCGGGGAGGCTTGGGACATTAAGGAGTCTTTCCTGCTCAATGCTGATCCTTTGGCCGTGTGGCGCTCCTTATGACGGTTGCAAAGGTCAAGCCTCACGAACGTCCGTTGGCAATCACCAATTCCGCACTTGTATACCTGTTTCGGATTGTGGTTCAGCTGATGCCGGTAACTATCAAAGAAAGCGTTAGCGTTCAACTTGTGCGTATAGACAAGGGTTCACATACAGATGCTCTGCCCTGGAGTAACTTTTCCCGCAGCCTTTCTCAGGGCACTCAAACTTCTTGTCTAGGCCCTTTCGGCTTCTGCGTCGTTTCCTCGCGGGTCCTTCCTCATTGGATGAGTGACCATCGTTCCCATTTCCATCGCCGTCTTCCATATCCTCTAGATCAGGCCTTTCGACATCTTTATCATCAGATCGACTACGGCGACGGCCCCGCTCATGCTCATCTTCCTGTTTGATATTGTGAGGAGGCGTAGGCTCCTGAAACTGAGGCATGGCTCCGTCTGGGCGACAGTCTGAAATGGGAGGTTTGATATCGGTCGACTGTGATGGGAGCACCGAAGTCATGATGGACCGGTTTGCGGACGGGGACTCCGGCCTCGGTAGGGTCACGTCACACTTGGTGTCGGTCAAGGTAACACGCGCCGGGATAGGAGGGGCTAAAGGATCGAGGGGTGGCGCAACGGCGGCCGAACTGCTTGGGCCACGAACAAGAACAAATCAGGGTCGTCGGTCTTGAAGGGCGGTGGTACAAGATCCAGATGAACAGCAAGCTTGCCCGGTGATGGTGTTTGTTCCGGCAAAGAACCGAAGTGTGTAACAGAAGTCGAGAGCAGAACGTGATGAGACAGGTCGAAGGCCCGATACTGGCCACTGCGCGCCAACGGGAGCTTGGTGGTGTAGGGACAAAAGCTCTTCCTCGCCGAGACAAGCTGGTTTGAGTCTCAGGATATCATGACTGATATGCTTGGTTTCGGGTCAGATGTCGGTGGTGGAGGACGAAGGGGTCGTCGGCGCCAGACTGGCCAAGCCCCGCACTAGGAGAAGCTTTGGGGAAAGTAGGAGCGGGGGATCGTGAAGCTCGTAGCGCGGCGGATAGCTTGGAGAATGCGATTTGTTCTTTCCCGTCTTTTGTTACTGTCAAAGACCAAAATGGAGGAGAAATACTCCGAGACCTGGACAACCTACTAAATGGGAATAATCAGTAACAAGCTCAATGGGAACGGACCCATGAAAGCTGCCTCCTGCGACAACGGAAAAGAGGACGGCGATGAACGCCAGCTTGGGCGCATTGGGAAAAGGCGCCTGAAGGCCGGAAGGAACCAGAAGCCCGAATGAGAGTCGAGGAAGCGACCGGGGGTAGACGAAACGGGAGGGGTAGTCATCAGCCAGAGAATTATTTCTAGGGGCCGGATCGCTTCAAGAGGCGTGGTTCAAGCGAACGCGACACGGCTCCTAGGGAACACTGTTCGTCCATCCAACAAGAACAGCCAGGCCCAGCCTTTTGCCAGTTCCTAGTTCCCAGATCCCTTTGCTTCGTTGGTGCTGCTGCCTGTGGCATGGGTCTACCTCCCGTCTGTAAGACCTAGAGCTGCACGCAAGCAGCCCAGCCAGAAGCTCACCTCACTGAGGCAAGCCAGTCGGTGCACCAAGCGCTTGGGTGGGGCTCAAGGTAGCAGGAACAGACGAACAGGGTCAGAGGAGGGAAGGGGAATGGGATGAGCAGGGGTTAGGAAGAGAGGTAGGGTCGGGTGCGTGTAGTTGAGGGTACACCAAGTCCATGTACTTTTGGGGCATAGGCAATAGCATCAGAAAGGGGACAGGGGTAGGTATAAGTGCGAAGGTAAAGATGAGGAGAAGGATGGAAGAAATTGTCAAGGGTATCCATAGACACGTTGTGTTTTAGGAGAGCAGAAAGAATGGAAGACAGCAAAGACATTGGACGGAAGGGAAACGGGGGGGAGGGGGGGAGGTGATCCAGACAAGCACACTGTTGGAAAGCCACCTTGTACGACACCAGAACGGCAGTGAAAAAAGTGACAGAAATTAGAAACTTGGTCAAAGCACACTTTTGTAAGTGCTAGTACCAGCATGAAGAATCACGCAGTTTCTCAGGTACATACTCGCGGCCACTGAGTATTCCGGCTGGTGCCCTCATTGAGTGTTCTCTGATCCGAAGTGAACTCTTCCAAAGCTGTAACACAATGACGTGCCCACGAAAGAAAGGCACAGAGTTTCGGGATGTCAGATGGCTTGTGTTCTGTGAAGAATGCGCTGGCACTGGGTAGTGGTGACAGGCGGACAAAGCCAGATGGGAGGAGAGACATAAAAGTGCCCGGGGTTACCCATGATACCCACGGGATCAATATGAGGACTTCTCGAACACTTGTTAACGAGACTGCAGTCTGCCGATGCCGGAGGGATCCAAAGTGCTGGGATTGGTAGGGCAACGGGATAGGGTCGTCTCATTATGAAAACTAACCGAATGATGGGAGATGTAACATACTTTGTAAGTGTCAAGTGTCTATAGTCGTTTGAATTCGAATGAGTTGATCAACACTTCACACAACGGCTGACACTGATGTTTGACAGAATAGATCTTTCCGAAGAAGTCCGGCGACAGTCGGCAACACAAGGCGGAATCGGAAGCGGAATCGGAAGTCGGAAGTCGGGACGGCAATCGGGATAGACGGAAGGTAACGAGACGGACCCAAGGTTGACAAGCTTCTTTCCACCTTCCGGACGGTTAAATTCTCCAAAAAAGCCGGGTGGGGAAACACCAGGGTAGGTAGGTCAGGGAGTTTTGTCTTCTGGTCGTTCGGAATGATGGTTCTGGGTAGTCCTGTCTTTGTTGTAAAAAAAAAAAATACCGGAGCCCGTGACCGTAATTGAGGGTGTCGACTGTCGCACAACGCTTCTCGACGATGTAGTGTAAAGCCGTCTTGGTGTAGGAAGCCGAGGGCTGAATCGACTGCCGCTGACGGACTGAAGTGACTGACTGACTAGTCGTAAGTATCGTGTGTAATCCGTGTGAATATTGCCCGCTGTCAACCAGGAAGTATCCTGTCCAACATAAACCTGCCCGGACCTGGGGCTGGGCTGAGCTTGTCTTTGTTCAAGTTCTGCCGGCGCGGGTTGAACGGCGTGGGTTGTCGACCCAAGAGGCAGAGTGTCTGGGGAAGTGCGCGGGAGGGAAGAGTGAGGAGTTGGAGCGGCGTGTGGGGGTCTCTCTGGGAACTTATGGAGATTCAGCGCGGGCCTTCTACAGAACAGCCTGGAGCTCTGGACGGGGTTCCGTTGCACGCGGGGCCACGACGCTAAGAGGGCCGTTCTTGGTCCGACCCTAGCGTTGCGGTTGCGATTGGGGTCGAACCTTCTGGGATCGGTCGGGTCACCCGTTATCGTAAGTATCGTATTACGGGATTACATACCTCTAGTCCTCTACAGCGTCCGCTGACCCTTGTCTCGCTTGTCTCTCATAGCCAACGTCACGCCACTGTGGTATCTGGCCTAGAATTTCGATAGTCCGTCTCTTCATGTTCTTGAGGGTCACATTGCTTCAATAAATGAAAGATGATCAATCTTGCAGGTTTCCCATTTGATGTGAGAATGACGAGGAGGGTGCCATTTGTGTCGGAAGCTATCGTGTGTTTTGGGTGATGCCGTGTTCACCAATCGCCGCCCCGCCCCGTTTCGGTGGAATTGAGCTGCCCTGGCCTAAGCGATCCACTCCCCACGCGAAGGGACCTGCAAGTTTAAAGCCATATCGTGCCGATCCCTATGGGTCTCAGGGGCTTATGCTCCTGTTACATACACATAGTAGAGAGACAAGCGATGGAAGCGTAGCATCTTTGGCCGTACGAGATCTTGGAATAAAAAGAATGAGTTTGACGCGCAGATATCCATTGATGCTGACGACACCTAGGAGACCGGTCCGAGATGGCTTACCAAGTATAATAAGACCGAGAATGCCCTGGCCGTGCGCCTGTCTTGAGGACTGAGAAACATGATCTCTTCAATTGTGGACTGAGAAACATGATCTCTTCAATTGTGGACTGAGAAACATGATCTCTTCAATTGTGGGTTTGTTTCAAGGTAAGCCTTTGATGCACAAGATGCAGCAAGACACAGGCAAGAGAGGTCATGCCTTCCAAAGATGCGCATCTAGCCGTGTGGGGAGCATACCGTAGTAAATGAGGGAAACAACGTGATGAGCGGCTGCCTGCTTACCGACACAGCAAACACAGGAATATAGGTATCTGAAGCCTAGTGCATATTCATCAAGGCCATCATGTCAATGGGTGAAAGTTACGGAGAGAAAAACCGTAAAGGTGAGCTTTGGTGAGATGCTCTCAAGGTAAGGATACCCCTGCCGATGTGAGGAGCCTCGGTGGAGACTCCAAATGCCTGTTATTTGATTGGTCATCCTTTTGTGAACCCTTTCCATCAACTCCACCATCCATATCAATTTCACCACGTCGTCGCTTCCTCCTTTTCTTTCCAACTAAAGTATCATCACCAGGTGCAGTCTACCTCCTTCCCATAATGATGGGCCTGTTTGCATTTCACCAACAAGTGGGAAACAACTTCCATCTCACCTCTTCACCATTTCGCCAGATTCGCCCGTCAGGAACAGCACATGCTCTACAGCCCCGCAGCCAGCCCTCCCGAGCCCCGTCGACCCCAGACACCCTGCCGCGCCCTTCCCTTCGATGCTACTCGGCGTCGTAAAGGCCTCACTGTGATTGGAGCCTAATTCCTCAATCCTTGGCTGCTTCAATGGCGCGTTCTGCAGCAGCAGTAGTGTGCAGGTGGGCCTTTCAGCCGGTCTCTCCGTTAATCCAGGACCACCAACCTTCACACAGTCATCTTCACCAAACATCAGCGACGGTCCGAAGTCCCTTGAGTCCTGAGCTAAAAGCCCCAGAAATTCTGTTTCGGCACCCTAAACACTCGAGAACAACCACGGGTCTTGTCAGACATTCCCAGATTGATGCCGCTGTCAGCTCCCTTCAGCGATTCGTCTATCATTTCTAGACATGTCTTGGTGTCATAGATCCGTTTCTACCAGTCAGCGCGTACGAAAAACCACCGTCAGGAAAGAACACACTCAGTCAATAGTCCGCAGCTCGTGACGGACGACCCCTTGGTATCGAATCAACCCGGTTACCATCACATTGTTCCTACGCGCCACCACTTTCGACACTCTCCAACATATACCCGCGGCCCAATCCCGCGGAGCGACCCCCAAACCCGAACGGGTGAACCCCAAACCTGTTCCCAAGGTTTAGGCGAACAGTTCGAGAACCCTGACACTAATAAATGATGAGATGGGAACGTGGGATGCCACGGATATCCCCACGATTGCCCATCTCGTCCATCCACTCCACGCTTTGTTCGATCGAGTGTCTACCTACCTCGGAGCCAGCCAGACCCGGCCACGGGTTGACCCAACCTGTTGGTGTATAGGTAGCCCATCCAAACCACCATTCCCCAACTGACCAACCAGCACTTGTCTCAGAAGACCGAGGACATGGTCATGGTGCAACCCCCCCGTGAAAGCACCTGTCGACGCCACTTTCTCGCCAAATTTCCAGTCCATCCAAAGAATGGGATGTGAGCGACAAGGCAAAGTTTCGAGGCGTCCAAGCATCACCACATTGATGGTCTGGAAATTGGAGAGTGGCTTATGCACTATCCTGAAATATGATCTGGACGTAGCGGACTGACTCCGACACCCAGTCCGGGAAGGTCGTAAAGTACACTACCGCCGCGGAACAACGCCGCGGGATAAGTGCACCCTTCTGGATAAAATTGGCGTTGAGAGTCAAACTTCGATTCAACCCAAGACATACCATCTTGTGCAGCAGACTGCGTCATTGCCATGTGCTGGTAACACAAACCAAAGAATGGCTTGCGCCTATACTCGAGCAACCTGTTCCAGAAGGTTGTAAAACAAGTTCGAGTGCGGAAGAAGTGTCCCGACATTCTTCAACTGAAGGAAGGTCCCATCTGGGCAGAGCGAGGGGGACACCCCCATTGAACCCTAAGGGCCAGAGACATGCCTCAAGAATGTCACGGCGCGACACCATCCCAAAAGGCGCCACTTTCGTCTTCCAAGTGCAGCCATCATGCATGTCGACGGAAAAGGGACGAGAGCTGAGCGGTTCAGAATTGTCTCAACTCCAGGAAAGGGAATAGAGTGTGCTTATGCCGAACCAAAGGACGACTCAACGTGGGCCTGACCTCCTTCAGGAACCCTCATGGTCATAGTCGGGTCAAGAACTCTATGGGGCCTGACAAATGCCCATATGGATAAGGCTATTCTGATGAGATCCTGCAGGTACTTCTGGGTATGGAAGGGAGAAGTAGGTCCTCACAGTGATTCTGTGGAAGGGCATGAGCAGTCCAACATTGGACACTTGTCCATGCAAAGACGTCTCACGGTGACTGCTTCCGATTCAGCAAGCGTGATATGTGAAAGGGAAAACGCGATCAATCCGATGGTTATCGCATGTGGTCGTCGAATACGTCAACTGTCAAGTGAAGCCATGAGCCTGGACCGAGTCCTCAAGCTCTGATAGACGTTCTGGAAGTTCCATATGCTATCGGATCTCAGCCCTGTCAAGCTCGCCAGGTCCCACGAGCTACCCTGACCATGGTACTAATGAGTTTAGGACCTGGGATGAACCATGGACAATTGCTTACAATTTACCACCAGGCTTGATGATTGGGAAACTCTTCAAAGAAGCACACTTTATTTCGCTTTGAGAACTCAAGAGTGGCCGTTGACGTATTCGACTCGGGGTCACTCGGGGTCACTCGGGCAGTTGAACCTCCGATAGTCACCATATTCATCCAGTTCAGTGGTCGTGCGTCATGGTGGTCCCGTCTAGAAATCCCAATGGATTTTCGATGGAGTATAAGTATACTGGAGGTATTCAACCAAGGTTTTACCAACAATCGCATTGGCTCACCAAACCAATGATTGATTGCTGTACACTACCTTCAGATGAAAATGTCCCAACCGCAATTTAAAGTTTTTAAAGTTTTAAATCTTCCGCTGCGGGAATGTTTTTGTTTTTTTGCCGGACGCAGGGCAATGCAAAAAGTGAAAGCAGCATCAATTGAAGATGTGCGTCTTTCGTCCGAGAAACTCAGGGTCCACTTAACTTCCGAAGCTTGATTGACCGTGGCTGTCTGTCTCGTCTCGCGCGTTCGCGTTCGCGGCAGGCGGGCGTTAAGTTGCACTTTAACAGGCATGTGGGCAAGCTGGGGCCCACAAAAGTTCAGATCAAATCCACATCTCCATTTGTGAGGGGAAAGTGTGGCACTAAAAGAAGCGATATCGACCACTTAGATGGACTGATAAGGCGCCCAGCCACACGCTATCCTCGAATTACCGTCAAGTCCAAGGAGAGAAAGACTGGCTGGGTCCAGTGTCGTCAGAGCTTTTGTTCCTTTCAGGGATCCCGCTCACAGTGGATGTCCCTTTTTGCAGGACACACTGCAGCTTGCGGCACTGCAGCCTGCGACAAATGTCAATCGCCGCGTTGCCCTGACTTGCCCCGACTGCCCCGACTGCTGCCCTGACAGCCCTGGGCGTGTGCCGGCCGGTCGTTATTGCAATCTCTTTTTCCCACGATTGCCCATCCCAGCCTTGTCTTCTTCCCCTCTCGCCCGACACACTCCAATGCCACTTTGGGTCACCGCAACACGACTGCCTCAGAGCCCACCACCTTGGACCTTACGATGTGATCCAAAAGCCACGAATGCACACCATACTCAACCCGAAGCTCACCTCTTCTCGACACCCTAACCACCGTCCGATTTTGAACCTACGTGACAACCACGCTCCTCCAACCAATTCCGCTTTTCACATCCTGTCGATTATCGTCCGAAACCTACCCACACTTTAGGAACTGTTCGCCATGGCACCGCCAAGGAAGAACCAGAACCACGACGACAAGTCAGACACTCCCCATGAGGAGGGGGGAGGAGGAGGAGGGAAAGGAGGAAAGAAGAATGGCCATACCGGAGGCACCAAGATGCGGCGAGGCGGAAGTTCCACGGGCTCGAGCCTACGTGAGGTGACCAACGCCGCCGCCGTTCTTACTTCGCATCCTGCGACGACGACAACAACAACAAAAGAGTCGGAGGCAAGCAACCCAGGTGTACGTTGGCTTCTCGTTCCCAACCCGGCCCCTAATCATCATTCCCAATCTCCCAATTGCAATTGGTTTCTTCCACCCATTGAGTGCTGTGCCGAACCAAGCTAACCTGTCTCTTTGTCTCTCCACAGCTCCAATGGCCCGCCTTCGAGAGAGACGTCCTCCACGCCTACCGACGGGCCTACCGCCTCCAGACCCCGACCGCATACGCGAACCCCGTCCACCAATGGGTCCTCACCCAGCCCGGCAGCGTCGGTCTATACTCGCCCACGATTGCGCGACGCAAGGAATACCGGAGGCAAAGCAAGGACCAGTTGACCAGCACGGTGCGCAAGCACTTCAACGGCCTCGGCGTCCAGGAGAACGACATCATTGTCGACTTTTTGCACAAGATTCGCACCTCCCAAGGCGTGCCCAAGAAGAAGGTTATCAAGCCGAGGGAATACATCACCTTGCCTCCGGAGGAATGAGTGGGTGACGACATGGTGGTGCGGGAAGCTGACTCAGGGGGTTAAGTTACGGACTCAACCCAACCCTCTTCTTCCACCACGGCTTATCGGTTGACGATGCTGTGGAAAGAGTCCCCCATATTTTTTCTTTTCTTTTGTGGTTATTGACGATGCCTGCTGCTTTGGGGGGGACTGGGGAACTGTTTGGGCGCTATTCGGATATCCTTGATTTTGTTTTTGTTTCGATCGACTGGAACCGACTTGGCGCAATGGACTCATGATGGTTGTTTTGGGGAA